GGGGGGAATTGGTTGCCGCGAGCGCAGAAACGAGCGGCTTTCAACAAAATTCGGTATTCACATTTCCATAACGGATCAGTTGCGAGCGCCAAACTCACCCAACTTTTTCGCGCCCGCCTGTGGTAGATCGTCCTCGGCGTCGGAATCATCCTCCGGCGGGCAGATCAAATTTCGAAGCGCCTCTAAATTCTGCGGACCGAAACAACCGTCCATCGCGATTCTCGAGAGAGACACGATTCTCTCTTATCTCTCACTCTTTCTCTCTCTTTCTCTCTGTCTCGCCACAACTCTGTTCGGAATCCTCGCCAACAAATCGACGTCGCTATGACGACGTGCTCGCCGATAAAGGCGGCCGATTCGAACCCGGCCTGAAAAATGTCGTGCGCGGCTGAACTATTTATTATTAAATCCGAACGCGCATCAACATGTCCCCGCAATTGCTATCGCTCGGATCACATAATTCGGCGGCCGAGATCGCCGATTGCCTCCGAGCCTGTCGATAGTTTTCCGACGATTGAACATCGGAGAGGTTTACAGGGGGACGTTCGATCGAATACGATTTAAAGGAGAGAAAGTAGTAGTCAAAATGGCGTCAAAATGACGAGAAAGCAATCGAATCATGATAGAAAAATGAGTTATTATTATAAATATTTTCTCATCATTTCGAGGTTATCGTGATTTTCTGTCCCACCCGGAGTGGCAACGAACAAACCCAAACACGTCTCGGCTGAAGGAAGCGGAATTCTTAATTCTCACGAACCCCAAATTCAGTTGTTATAACCAGAAATTCCGTCTCCTTCAAAGAGAAAACACGTTTGGTTCGTTCAGATAGATTGAGCCAAAATTCTTTCTTCATATACGTTGAAATTCGAATCTCGGAGAATGAAGAGATTCACTTCATTGATTTTCCTTGCGAAAAACAACGGGCGATTTCGAAGTAAATCGCGCTCGCTTGCGAATTACTCACCTGTGTTCATCGAGTTTATTATATTCACGCTTTGGCGAGTAGCAACGACTGTAAATTCGTGCGAACATCTGCGGCCTCGCAGCCGCAGCTTGATCGACGTGAGATTCGGAAGTGTATGCGGCAAATACGTTGCTTTCAGGTTGGTATACGAAAAACGACGGAACCCGAAAGGTCCTCCTCACATTGCGCGTGTGTTCCCGAACGCAACTTTGGTATCGCTCGAACGTAGAGATGGGCGAAATCATTGATGTATGAAAAAACATCGATGTTCGCTCATTGAAGATGGTATTACATCTAGAGGAAATGTTAGGGACTCTAGGAATTCTCTATCCGGCAGCCAATCGGCGTATTCTCCGAACTCATCGTACGACGCATCCCCAATGACTATTCTTCTCATATTCGGTTATGATTGGTCGATTTCTTAAAGCTTAAAGCTTACTACATTTTAATAATAATTCGAAGTTATGCAATGTATCACACGAATCTCGCGAGCACGAAATTCCTTCCTTAACAATTACGCAAGACTATCTCTCTCGTCTCACTTGCGCTTACGTTCCAGTCGTTCCTTTTAGCGGCAATCGGTGCAATAAGTTCGAGCGAGACAAAATATATTTGTCTCGTACTAACTTATCGTACGAATTCAACCAAGTGCGTCTGGAAAAAAGAACAGACCAAGTGTCGCTATAGTTTAGTGCTCGCTGGCACTGCCGGCTCCTTCCAACGCCGTTTTACCAACATGGCAGACACCACGGACGAGAAGCTGTCGAAAAAGTGAGTAGAACGTTCGACGCCGTGATTACCGCACGGTCGCGCTGGCAATAAGAGGTTATCCAAGTCCACGACGCTCCGGAGACTTTTAACGCGTGGCTTCACCACCACTTCCGACGTAGTCCGCGAGGACATGTAACATCGGCTCGCCGCGCACCACGTGCTGCTCCCACGTTGCTCCCCGGACACGCACTTTTTTTCTTCCCAGGTAACCGGTATCTCGCGAAGTGATTGAAACTCGAACGAACGCGCCGCGGTCATGCTCGGTAATTTGATCAAAGCTCGCGCTATTTTCGCGCAGCCGTTCGCACGAACGTGGCTGTTAGGTCACGAGGCAAGATTGCGTCAGACGCCCCTACGTCGCCGCTCCACGTCGACGTGCGTAACTCGACTCACTCGATATTCTTCGGTGCGCGAGTTGCACAGCTGGGAGAATGATTGAAGGGACCTTCCGATTACAGTGAGCTGAAGAGACGTCTGAAGGCGGAGCAGAAGGCCAAGGAGAAGGCCGAGAAGGAGGCTAAGGCAACGGTGGTTAAGGAACAAGCGAAGGACGCCGAGAAGAAGAACGATGTCGAGGAAGAGATCGGCCCAAATGTAAATAACTTCGTCATGAGTCGTTTAGGATATAAGTGTAGGATTGTATTGACAATTTTTATATAGAGAACTTCGATTCTTCTGCGTTTATTCGCATTCTTCGTGAACACGAATTTTGTGAGAATATCGTGCAAAGAACCGAGATCCTTTCATTTGGAAAATAAGAATAAATTTTCCATTTCTTAGGAATACTTCAAGCTCCGGACATCGACGGTCAGTCAGCTCAAAGCTAACAACGAACAACCTTATCCGCATAAGTTCCATGTGTCGACCTCCCTAGAAACATTCATCGAGAAATTCAGCAATGTCGTGAAGGACGGAGAAACGATCGTGAATGAGGTGCACAGTATCGCCGGGCGCGTCCACTCCATTCGCGGGGCCGGTGCCAAGTTGATCTTCTTCGATCTCCGAGGAGAAGGCGTCAAGGTGCAAGTGATGGCCAATGCGAGGAATTACAAAGACGGGGAGAAGTTCGCGACGGATATCACCAAGATCAGGAGAGGCGACATCATAGGCGTCGTCGGCAATCCGGGGAAGAGCAAGAAGGGCGAATTCTCCATCATGCCGCACTCTATTACTCTCCTAAGTCCGTGCCTGCACATGCTGCCGCATCTCCATTTCGGTCTGAAGGACAAAGTAAGATCTAATTTCGCAGAAAAATATTACACGATATACGACTCTTAGGTACGATACACAGTGTGCGTGATATATGCGGATACAATTACGTGTACAAGATTGAAAAGTATTTCTGTACGCAATCAGGAGACAAGATATCGGCAACGATACCTGGACCTCATTTTAAACAACCGAGTCCGGCAGATTTTCTACACACGCGCCAAGATAATCGCCTACGTACGCAGTTTTCTGGATAAACTAGGCTTCCTGGAGGTCGAGACGCCTATGATGAATATGATCGCCGGAGGTGCCACCGCTAAACCCTTCATCACCCACCACAACGAGCTCAGTATGGATCTCTACATGAGGATCGCTCCGGAGTTGTATCACAAGGTAATAAGTTTTTAACATTTCTTCATAAAACTTGTAGTCATTCATAAGACTTGAGTATAGAAAGCATAGAAAATCTGTGAAACATAGTTACGCATAAACGTTTGATAGATGTTAGTCGTCGGTGGGATCGACAGAGTGTACGAGATCGGCAGGCAGTTCAGGAACGAGGGCATCGACATGACCCACAATCCCGAGTTCACCACCTGCGAGTTCTACATGGCGTACGCGGATTACAACGACCTGATGGTCATCACGGAGGACTTAGTGTCCGGCATGGTGAAGACGATCCACGGCACTTACAAGATAGTCTACCATCCCGATGGGCCGGAGGGTGAGGAGGTAGAGATCGACTTCACGCCACCTTTCAAGCGCATTTCGATGATGAAGACGTTGGAGGAGGCCCTCCAAGTTAAACTGCCGAAAGCCGACCAGCTCAACACACCGGAAGCGACCAAGTTCCTGAATGATCTTTGCATGAAGCACGACATCGAATGCCCTCTTCCCAGGACGTCTGCAAGATTGTTAGACAAGGTAAGACTTAGGTTCGAGAGAACTTGCTTTCGGGGTCAACCTTTGTTCGGCAATTCTGACGGTAGACGATGATTCCGAGTCTTCATTTGGCAATCAAGGCCAATATATTATATATTGAAGCTATATAGTAAAAAAAAAGAAGAAATGTCTGTGATTTGCAAAGGATTGTAAGTGGAACATTATTTCCAATATTTCTCTTTGCAAATGCATTGCATCTGGCGTGTGCTACATCCTGATCTTGGTTGCAGCTCGTTGGAGAATTTATCGAGGAGAAGTGTGTCAATCCCACGTATATCATAGATCATCCACAAGCGATGTCTCCGTTAGCCAAGTGGCATCGTTCCGAGGAAGGCCTCACGGAACGGTTCGAACTGTTCGTCATGAAGAAGGAGATTTGCAATGCGTACACCGAATTGAACGATCCGTTCGTTCAAAGAGAAAGGTAGTGCAAAGTTTGCAATCATGCTGACCCAACAACGCGTTCGCAGCGTTTTAAGGTGAAATTGGTCCCTGATAATACTACTAGAAAGTTAATTCAACACGAAGAGTATCAATCGAATTTAGGTAATATTTATAAACTCGCCTAATATCCAAGTATTTTATGGAAAATATTAAAACGTCAAGTATTGGAGACTTTGCAGAATAAATATATGTTCATTTGCAAGATACATTTTTAAATGCCTTCATTTAATCTGAAAATTTCAACAAACTCCTGGAAAGTCAGGGGATTCTCGGGGATTTTTCTTTACGGGCTTCTTGAATAGACACCCCGAAAAGCGTCACGACAATGTAATTCCAAGCGAACCGTTTCGTTTGACAATTGTCTGATGAATTATAAACACTCGAAAATACGTGCACAGGTTCGAGCAACAGGCGAAAGATAAAGCAGCCGGCGATGAGGAGGCACAGATGGTCGACGAGACTTTCTGCACTGCTCTGGAGTACGGCCTGCCGCCGACGGCTGGCTGGGGCATGGGTATTGATCGCCTAACAATGTTCCTCACCGACTCGAACAATATTAAGGTAAGTATTTACAATGTAGATGCACGCTCTCTATCACTCTAAAAAAATGGCCGTGAAAGAAAATCAACAATTTTAAATCGCCCGTCTCTTTGCATAACCGAAATGATCTGTGAGAGAATATCAAAAGTTGATCGAGGAAGAACGACAGGAGAACGATATCTTATCGATATCTTTGTAGGAGGTGCTGCTCTTTCCCCACATGAAGCCCGATGAGAACCCAAATAGAATCAAAGATGTCATCGAGGATGACAATGCGCCGAATGTCAGTGGCGAGACGTAAGACGGTGGAGAAGCGATGTTATTTATTTAATAATAATGTGACGCACTTTTTCTTACCGTAGTGTAAGAATTTTCCTTTCTCTCACTGGATATAACCCGGTTTTTCCCAGAGAAATAAAGTTTTTTAAATTCGGTTAACAACAGTTCCTCACGTGTATCATAATTTATTTGATATCCGGTAACTACAACATATCGATTACACGATCGATTATTTACAAAATCGCAAGAACATTTGACAACAGCATCTCTCTCACCCACACACACAACACACACATACACACACCGATATTAGTGTCCCGCGTCTTTTAGAATTATGAACCGCTCTTGTTTCCCCCTCTCTCCCTCTTTTATATCGCTGTATCACACGGGTATAAAAACCGTTCAAGATTATTTCGAGATTACGTATAATCCAGGCTGACACTCAGATTATGATAAGGATACGTTGCCGCGACGATCAACAGTTTCCGCCGAGTTATCCGTCCTTTTCTTCCAACTTGGGAGAACGTTATCGATAAATTCGACAGTTTCAGACGTCACGTAGAAAAGTTGAAAAAACACTTCACTCATTGCAAAATGTGAATCGGAGTGACACGAAGATCCGTGGAGAATTGAGAATCCACCGATAGCCACAAGAGAGAGAAAGAACAAGACATTTCGCGCGGGGGGAAGGGGGCGACCCTGATACTACGTACACTGAAGGTTCTTCATAGGCGCAGAAATATTTGACAGACGTTCGGTATCTCGAAAAGACTTGCCACGTGAACAGGAGACATGCGAGTATGCGCAATAGAACAAAACACACACATACACACTCGTACGTCGGCTCTTTCCGAGCGTGAGCCGAAAACGTGAAATCTTAATAAGTACTTGCATAATTTGCTGGCAGCATCTTTTATATTGTCTGAGATATATATATATATATATATATATATATATATATATAT